TTATTTATCAGAGAGAGAGAGAGACAGAGTCAGGCAGAGGGAGAAGCAGGCTCCTTGCTGAGCAAGGAGCCCGATGTGGGACTCCATCCCAGGACCCTGGGATCATGACCTGAGCCAAAGGCAGAGGCTTAACCGACTGAGCCACCCAGGCATCCCAAGATTAACATTTTTTTTTTTTAAAAAGATTTAAGATTAACATTTTTTTAATTGCCATTTTGTTGCTCCAGTTACCCACATAGCACTTAGAATTATAAGGAATTTTTGTTTAGTTGTGTCTGACCTGGTTTGTCTTGTGTAGTAAAATCCATATTATTAAGCAAATTATTAAGCAAAATATTTAGGCTTTTGTAGATTTATCTTATATCCACTTTCCTTAGCATACGGTTTCTATTGTCCAAATGCTGGGCCTTTATCCAGTCAGGTACCAAGTTGGTTTTCCAGCATCTTTTAAGCTTTTCCTCTTAGATGGTAGCAGTGCACATTGTTAGCCTAATTTAACTACACAATACGAATTACAGTGAAGGCCTTAGTAACCACCAGTTTATAATCTCAGAACTGCTGGTCCTTATAACAATGGCTAATCTAGTCTGATCATATTATAGAGGCACAGATGTGTTGGAGAAAACAGAAATGCAGTTCAGGGAACCTTGACTTAGCATCAGAAGACTAGATGTTTGACTTGTTTGACTGCTGACTGTGTCCTTATCTCTAACCTCCATTCTAACTCAGACTGGATGCATTTGTTTTGCATATTAGTTTATAAGTGTTAGTAAAGGTATTGATGTGCAAGGATTAACAAAGGATATTAATTAGTAGTCTGTATGTCAAGAAGACCTTTATGGAGGGGAAATCCCCCAAATATTTTATAATTGTCTCTTTTAAGTATCCGGGTTATTAAAGCTTTTAAATGGGGTTAGTGCCATCTTATAAAGCTCTCTTTGAGCACCTTGAAATCATTGAAAACATATTGCCCAGTTATTCTGAAATAACTTAAAGAAGGACTGAATAAGGAGAGTATCAGTTTAGTTTTTGTCCTTTAGGTACCTGGGGGTCCAGACACATCCTGTCACCGTTTTCTGTGATTTTTTTCTTCTTTCACCAATATCCTACTGTCTTGACAGATACCGAGTTTGTTTTTTGTTTTTTTTAAGATTTTTTTTTTTTTATTTTTTTTATTTATCTGAGAGAGAGAATGGGAGACAGAGAGCATGAGAGGGGGAGGATCAGAGGGAGAAGCAGACTCCCTGCCGAGCAGGGAGCCCGATGCGGGACTCGATCCCGGGACTCCAGGATCATGACCTGAGCCGAAGGCAGTAGCTTAACCAACTGAGCCACCCAGGCGCCCCCCGAGTTTGTTTTTTGCACTCTTTTCCCTTCCCTCAGCCGGATCTTTCTGGAAAAAGTCATTTATTTAAATAAGAAGTAGGTACATGGTTCTAAGTCCTTGGGATATTTGGGATCAAGTGAAGAAGAAAATAAAAAATAGAAAATGCCTGTAAGGCCCAAGAAAATTCATCTGGACAATAGTTCTGTATCATGGGCTTGGTTTTTTTTTTTCTTATGGAAAGTTTGAAACTACAACTTTACCACGGAAGTAAAAGAATAGAATAATGAACTCCCATGCAGCCATCATTCAGCTTCTGTCACCCTCCTGTTAGTTGTCATTGCCTACTTTTTTTCCTGGAGTTTTTTTTTTTTTTTCCATGTATTTAGAGCAAATTCCAGAAATCGTGTTATTTACCAGTTCAGTATATATCTCTTATTGGAGTGGACATTCCATAACCATCATGACAGTACCCGTTCAACAAACTAACAGTATTTAACACATCCATCTTGAGAGTGTCAGTTCCTATTCCAATTACCCCAGTTGTGCCAGAGATGCCATTTTACTGTTGGCAGTAAATCAGGTCCAGACAAGGCCAAACATTGTATTTGGTTATTTCTCTGAAGTCTCATTTATTCTGTGATAAATGCTATGATTCCCTACCCAGAAAAAGTCCATAAACAAACTTTTATAATTAATTTCACTGGCTCTTGGATAGCCTTGAAGTCTACCCATGGACTCTAGGTGAAAAATACTTAAGTATATATCCTTCTAATGTGATTCTTTAACACAAAATATGTTAGAAACACTGATGTAGACTTTGTGGAGTCATTGAGCAGTTGAAATAGTCTCATGTGAAGGATTCTGAAGAACATCTAAAATGTACTCATTCCTTTTATGCTTTAGGTCAGCTGAGCATATTAGGAAAGTATATACTATCTTCAACTTTTGTGTTTTGTTTTTTTTAATAAAAACAATGGTATAAATTGCTGGAAATTACTTGATAATCTCCACTAAACTAGATTTATTAAAGTAAATTGCTAATATTCAGACTACCCATAATTGTATATATACTCAATTCTTTTTAGCCAAAAATAATGTGGATGAAAATATGGATGAGTCAGATAGAAGAAAAAGTCCACGGAGTCCAAAAAAAATAAAAACAGAGCCTGATTCTGAGAAAGGCGAGGTAAAAGATTCAGATGCTGCCAAAGGAGCAGACCAAAGTGAAATGGACGTTTCCAAGATTACTGAGAAGAAGGACCAAGGTAAGGAGAGTCAGGTGTGAAGGGCAGCCTGGGGGTGATAAGATTGCATTGGATCTGGTTCACACAGCAGAAGAGGTACTGCCTTATCTTTCTTTGATGGCACCTTTATTGAGTCATAACTCATTTGCTATATAACTCACCCATTTAAAGTGTACAGTTCAGTGGTTTTTTAGTATTTCACAGAGCTGTTCACCTATCACCACAATCAATTTTAGAACATATTCATCACCCCAAAAGTAAACCTCATACTCATTAGCAGTCAGTCTCCAGTCCTCCCTAAATCCCCCCAGCCTACTAGTCTACTTTCTGTCTCTATGGATTTGCCCAATTTTGGATGTTCTGTATAAATGGAATCATATAATATGTGGTCCTTCGTGACTGACTTCTTGGACTTGGTGTAATGTTTTCCAGGTTCATCCATGTTGTAGCATGTGTCAGCATTTTGTCATTCCTTTTTATTTCTGAATAATAGTCCATTGTATAGACGTGCCACTTTTTGTTTATCCATTCATCAGTTGATGGACATTTGGGTTGTTTCCACTTTTTGGCTGTTATGAAAACTGATAAGGACGTTTGTGTACAAGTTCTTATATGGACATATGCTTTCATCCCTCTTGGGTAAATACCTAGTAGTGGAATTACTGGGTCATGAGCTAATAACTCTGTGTCCAACCTTCTGAGGAACTTATATTGTCTTTTGTGAAAAGTCATTTTTTAAAAACTAGATAAGCTAGGTAATATATGAGCCCTAAGATATTTTATGACTACAAAATAGTCTATACAAAATCTTCCATGAAGGTACTGGCGTATGGGCTAACTGTCACGTGCTAAGTAGTTTTACATTGTGACATTCCAATTTCAGATACTAAGAATCAGAATATTTAAATATTTACTAGATGTTTTTAAACCTTTTATAAAGTTTAGCCCTGTCCATTGATCTATCTTAATCATGTATCAGGAGCTTTCGAATATATATTTATATCGAAGCTCTTGAGTGAAAACAAGAAACATTGGTAGTTTCTAAAATAAAATATTGTGAATTCCGCATTTGAGACTAAAAGTTACACTTACGTAAATGTCTTTGTTTCACAGATGTACAAGAAATTTTAGATTCTGACAATGAGAAACCCTTTAAGGAAGAACCAATGGAGATAGATGATGATGTGAAAACAGAGCCACGTATAAACTGTCAGGAAGGTTCTCAAGTAGATGTGGTCAATGTCAGTGAGGGCTTCCATCTAAGGACTAGTTATAAAAAGAAAATTAAATCATCCAAACTAGATGGACTTCTTGAAAGGAGAATTAAACAGTTTACACTGGAAGAAAAACAGCGCCTCGAGAAAATGAAGTTGGAGGGTGGAATTAAGGGTATAGGAAAGACCTCTACAAGTTCTTTGAAAAGCCTTTCTGAGTCACCAGTAACAATGAAAGCAAAAGAAGGGTGTCAAAGTGACTCACTTAGACAAGAACAAAGCCCTAATGCAAGTAATGGTAAATCTGAAGATGTGATTCGGGGATGTTCACAAAGCGATTCCTCAGTTCTTGGAATCGGTGATCCTGATCATACAACAGACAGACTTTATCCAAAAGATCAAATGTTAGATGACATCTCCATTCAGAGTCCAGAGACAAACTGTCAGAAACAAAATTCTGTTGGAAATGACATAGATGAGAGTCTCTCTGAACCTACCAGTCAAGGCCAGGAACCTGGTAAGATTCAAACAAGAGGAAGTGACTTTCTCATTGGTGACTCCAAACTAGCCAGTGCAGATGAAATTGGTACTTTGATCTATAAGAACAAAAAACCACTCATACAGGAGGATAATGACACCATTGTTTCTCCTTCCCAGAGCCCTTCACTTCCATCAGTACCTAAAAGTACTGATGATAGAGATCTCCCATCTCTGTCAAAAGCAGTGGACTTTGAAGGAAAACTAGGATGTGTCTCTGAATATAACAGCACTTTGGAAAATAGTTCTGATACTATGTCTATTCAGGACAGCAGTGAAGAAGATATGATTGTTCAGAATAGCAATGAAAGTCTTTCTGAGCAGTTCATAACTCAAGAACAAGGTATTGAAGGCTTGGAACCATTGAAACGGGAGTTTGTTCCAGATAAATCCACTGGAAACTATGATAAAAGACCACAGGGTAAGGTAACTGAAGCAAATGGTAGAAAGCCAAGTCAAGAACAGAAATTAGAGGAGAGATCAGTTAATAAATGTATTGATCAAGTCAGTCTAAAAAGTAGCACTGACAAAAAGAATAATGAAAATCGAGAGTCTGAAAAGAAAGGACAGAAAGCAAGTACCTTTCAGATAAATGGAAAAGATAATAAACCCAAATCATATTTAAAAGGGGAATGCTTGAAGGAAATCTCTGAGGGTAAAGTAGTAAGTGGTGACATTGAACCAAAGCTTAATAATATAAATAAGATAATTCCTGAAAATGATATTAAGTCTTTGACTGCTAAAGAATCTGCTGTAAAGCCATTCATGAATGGTGATGTCATCATGGAAGATTTTAATGAAAAAAACAACCTGGAAATAAAGTCATCTTTACTGAGATCTTCAGATGCTGGAGGTGACTACCAAGACGGCGTAGAGACCGTGCCGTCAGCCAAAGAGCCTGAGAGTGCACACGCTGCCATGCCTCCACTGTCTTGTCCAGAAAGCAGTCCAGCGAACCAGGTAGAAGAGATGGAAATTGAAACCTCCGAAGTCAAGAAAGTTACTCCCTCACCTGTTACTTCTGGAGAGGAATCTAACCTCAGTAGTGATTTTGTTGATGAAAATGGTCTGCCCGCCCACAAAGATGAAAATGTCAATGGAGAGCCCAAGAGAAAAACAGTCATCACGGAAGTCACCACCATGACATCCACGGTGGCCACAGAATCAAAAACTGTAATCAAAGTAGCAAAAGGTGATAGGCAGACTGTGGTCTCGTCCACAGAAAATTGTGCCAAATCCACTGTCACGACCACCACTACAACGGTAACAAAGCTTTCCACACCCGCCACAGGCAGCAGTGTGGACATCATCTCTGTGAAGGAGCAGAGCAAAACTGTGGTCACCACAACAGTGACAGACTCACTGACCACTGCAGGGGGCACTCTGGTGACATCTATGACCGTGAGCAAAGAATATTCCACAAGAGACAAAGTGAAACTCATGAAATTTTCAAGGCCCAAGAAGACTCGTTCAGGTACAGCTCTGCCATCCTATAGAAAGTTTATCACCAAGAGCAGCAAGAAGAGCATATTTGTTTTGCCTAATGATGACTTAAAAAAGTTGGCCAGAAAAGGAGGAATCCGAGAAGTCCCTTATTTTAATTACAATGCAAAACCTGCCTTGGATATATGGCCATATCCTTCTCCTAGACCAACCTTTGGTATCACTTGGAGGTATGTATTTGGGGAAGGGAGAAAGTCTTACAAGCATTATCTGATAAGCATATCTCATTTTTTGTAGAAAAAATGAGATAATAAGAGATGCGGCAGGAAAGCAGAAGTTTAATGGGCCAAGTTAGCAGTGGAAATAAGATACAGAGAATCTTGAATTTGGCCAGCTGGGAGATACTCAAGTTTCTTAGGGAAAAATCTTAATAAAAGACTGAAAAAATGTAAGGGAATTCTTTAAAATGAAATTCAGTTTTACTTTTCACAAGACAGAAGAAACATGTCAAACATAGTTGTTTTTGTGGTTTAACTTTCCAAGTTATTGCCATGTGTTTGCCTTGGGAATGAGAGAATTGCAGACTTGGATAATCAACTTTCTGGAATGTTTGTATTTTATTTCTATTAGGTAATTCATAGAAACATAAAGACATAGGAAACATGCCTGGGAATCACACAAAGTTCATCGTAATGTGGAAATTTTCCTAATGTAATTTATTTGCATGGTAAACATTTGTTTTGGAGTTCTTTGTTATTTATGTGAGAAGAGGTAGTCTCAGATTCCTTAGGGATTTTTTTAAACCCAGAAATAGTCTTAATTTAAAATTTTCTGGGCATTAAGCTTTGGGGATGAGTCATAAGTACGTAGTGTTGGCAGTTGTCAGATCGTGTAGTTTTATATTGGGAAAGGATCTTAGAAATTCTTATCTTTTAGAGATGTGTAATAATTTGCCTCTGGCCACAGAGGGACAGAGTTAGGAATAGTGCCCGGTTTTCCTAAATCCCAGTCCAGTACTGCTGCTATATCACATTTCACATTATCTGTCCTTGCTTTGTCCTTTTTCATGTCCTTGTCTTTTTATCTTTTCACCCTCACAACTGGAAAGGATGGAACATAAACACTGAAAACATAAGAGTTTCTGTGGGGCATGCTTGGAAGTCAGGAACAGTCTTGATTGCTGCTAGATTTTGATAGGAACCTGAAGTTATTTTAGGAAGTGACTGAGCCAGCTCCATTGCACTCTAGGCTTCATTTCTGTATGTCTTTATTATGGTTCCAGTTTCTTTAAGTTAAAACCATACCCTTTTTTTGTTTGTTTCTTTTATATTATAATTAGTATTATAAAACAGAAAGTGTAAATGAGTACTCTCTCTAAAGGAATTAACTTATTAATATGACCAGTCATAGTTGGTTTGACCAAGGTTTTTATAACTCATCTTTTGATTTGAATTAAAATATCATCACTCCATTACACATTCAATAGAGACAGCTGAAAAGTACAATTTCTCTGCAGGGCCTGCAATGAAGGATTTGCAGAATCCTGCAGGGAATCAAGGAACTCTTCATTACAGTTCATGGATTTATAGGATTACTCTGCACTTTTCTGCTTTCTTCATTGAGAGCGGTCCCAAAATGTATCCTTGACTGTCCTGCAGGTAACTTCTTTCCCACTGGAAAAGTTACTATGTACAAATACTTTAATTAAAATGACCTGGCAGTTGTGGAGGCCAACCTTTCTGCTCTTTTCTTTTCTGAAGTGGAAGGTAGGCTCAACTGGGAAGCACTTTTCTCTGAACCAGGTCCGATCAGGTGTTGCCCAGGGCCCTTTTCTGCACGGCTGGGTTTCAGGAGCCTTGTATTATTATGTTTCAATATGCACTGTGGGCACAATTGGTATCTGTTTAGTTAATTTCTCATTTTTTAATGGAAGGAAATACCTTCCTGTATATTTTAAACAGATATTGCCGTCAAATATGTGCTAACGTCTAAATTTGCTGAAGTTGAGGGAAACAGAATCCCTTGTATCTAACAGAGGCATGGGTAAATATGTAACATATTCTTGACTTTAGAATGCATTTTTAAAAAGTGTATTGCTGTAAAAACCATGCATGTGAAATGCATTTTTATACTCAAACTTGAATAAAATAATGTCTGATGCTTAGAGTAGAAGCCAAGAATGCCAAGAGGTGCATGTTTGATCTTTATTAATGTTAAGGCTGAGCAGTAGTGAAAAGTGAAACTCGTCTTGTCAACTCATTAGGCCTCTTTTTTCCTCCACACTGTCCATTCTCTTACTTCCTTTTTCCCAGGCCCTGATTCTGTATTTCATTATCACTTGGAACCAGTAGTTGCCTCCACAGTGCTGCCCAAACGATTCTCCCAAAAGGCAGATCTATTCTGTGAATATTCTGACTGAGCTGAGCAGCCTTCAGAGTGTTAACTACAACTGCAGGGCTGGGGGGTGGCGGGCGGTGAGCTCGTCACCTGTGCACCATGTCTCTGAGAAGTACTTCCCTTTACAACCCATCCTATACTGGATGCGTTTCAGAAGGCTTCATACCGCTCACCTCCAGGGCTCTTCTTTTGTCCTCCCATTTGGTGCAGCACATTCGGACTCTGCAGTCCTCTCTCGTGCCGGCTTCCTCTCTTGCTGCGCTTCCACACCCCTTCCCTGCAGTCAGAGCACACCAGATGTGGTTTCTGGGAAGAAGAGTGTGCTGTGGTACACTTTCCTCCTGAGCATATGTATGCCCCTTGCCCTGGTGTAGCCACCTCCGCATCTTTGTCCTCTGAGACTCAAGCTAAGCTCTGCTCCCCATCCCAGAGCCGAGTCAGGGGCTCCTCGCACTTATCTCTGGTACAGCTCCTGAGGATGCGAGAACAGATTATGATTTATTTCCCTGTCTCCAGCTCCTTTCAGTTAGTCTAACACACATAGAAGGCACTCAAGTATTTTTTGAACGAATACTTGAATGAACAGGCTTTTGGTGTGTGCCCCTGCTGTGGTGTTTCCATTGCCAAATATAGAGGTGCATTGAAGTTGTAGAGAGTAATCCGAGGAAGAAGAGAGAGAAGGAGAAACATTTCTCTTCCCACATACATAACCATTTGGCGTCCAGAGTTCCCTATGCATTTCTATAGGGTGTGGTCTGAAAGTGACACGTACTTTCCACCCCCTTCTCAGGACATCCCTGCACTGGATAACATTGACCCTCCCATTTAAGAATTGTTCTGTCCAGGTCAGAGGATTCACAGGGCGACAGCACAACAAAGGAAATCCTGGTGTCACAGGCGGAGATGGGAATTTAAGAAGCTGCTGCACCTTTTTGGTTGGAGTGTTTCCCTTTCTCACATTGTTCATTTTCGCAGCTTAATGTTTAGAATAGAAAGCATTGCCTCTCAAATACAATTTGTCTTAAGGTTTACCTTCTACCTCTGTTAGAGGAGGAAATTATTTTAGTTGTATAGATTTTTCTGTATACTCGAATTAATCAGGATATTCATTTATAAAGTACATGGAAATGTCAACAGAGTTTAATTACACAAAGTCCACACTAATAGAGAATTGATACCCTTAGGGCTGCTTTACAGTATTTTATGGTTAGTTCCATCTCGGGACATAATATTCATTGCAGTTATAAATTCATTCTGAAATATATCTTTAATATTATTTTTAAAAGAGTATCTAAAATGTTCAATAACTGCACCCAATGCTTAGAAAAAAACCTGAACACAGAGATTCCTTTGTCTCCTGATCAGTACTTAATCTAGTATTGTCCTTTTTTATTACTGATTATATTGTAGAATTCTACCTACTATTATTCTAATGTGGTTAGTGTTTATTAGTATTAGCAGGTCATCATCATCAGGTAGTTCATGTTTTGCAGAACCACCATTTGGATACAAAATTTCTGTCCATTTGGAAAGGCCTTATTGGATTTGTGGGGGGGGGGGGGTCTTTTTTTTTTTTTTTTCTGTTTTGTGTTTTGAGAAAATTTAAACAATTGCAGTTTGTTTCAGCACAAATCAATCAGTTAAGATTTTATCCTTCAAAACCTTTATCATCTTTAGTAACACAGTTATTTCTCTATATTTGTTCTCCTTTGTAATTTCTCTAACACATATTTTGGAATTAGGCTAAATGTATAAAATCTTCATAAATTCTTGCCATGTCAGTCTTAAAATGAAACATGCTCATTTTACAAATTTACATGGTATTTGAAGCGACTACAGACCCTTTTTAAGTTGTTAGATGCATGTTATGCCTAGGAACAAAAAAGTTATTAAGGGATGTATAATAGCCACCGTGCTTACAAAATCGTATTATGATTATTAAAATCATAATGAAGACAAGATACAGCCCTTTGGTTTAATAATAGAAGGTGTGTGTGCGCGTGCGTGCGTGTGTACTACACAATACATATGTAGTTTTTCTTGGGTTTTTCTTTCAGGTATAGACTTCAGACTGTAAAGTCCTTAGCTGGAGTGAGCCTTATGTTACGGTTACTGTGGGCAAGCCTGAGGTGGGATGACATGGCGGCCAAGGCTCCTCCAGGAGGAGGGACTACGCGGACAGGTAAGGGTTTCTTATTTTCTAGTTTAAGTTGAAAAGAGAAAAAAATCACTTGACAGTTCACTTAATTTTAAGCATTTCTGTTATTTATTAAAATATAACGCTTATGTATAAAAATACAGCTTGCTAAAGTTGGGCAGCACATGCTGTAAGATCCTGGGGGCAGGGAAGGGGGTTCAGATTATAAGGTGAGTCACTTATGTGTGAACCAGTCTGAATTTTTAAAAGATCTTTGTTGGGGCACCCGGGTGGCTCAGTCGGTTAAGTGTCTGACTCTTGATTTTGGCTCAGGTCATGATCTTGGGGTTGTGAGATTGAGCCCTGCCTTGGGCTCCATGTCAGCAGAGAATCTGCTTGAGACTCTGTCTCTCCCTCCCTACCCCACCCACAACTCCCACAACCCCCCATGCTCACTCACTTGCGCATGTGCGTGCGCTCACTTTCAAAAAATAAATCTTTTTTTAAAAAAAAGATCTTTATTATTGTAGAGTATAAGTCATTTAAACTGGGACATCTGGAACCCTATGCTTGCTGCTTCTTTCTACTCTTATTATTTTGACTGTTTTGCCGCCAGAAACTAAGCTGCCCCCAAATAGCATTTTGCTCAGTTTAGAAATTTTCACTGAGGAAGAAAGTATTATTGCACTCTAGCAGTGACCCTAAAGTCATTAATTAATCAATTGTTTTCAAAAGTTTATTCCATGTGTGTCTCCTTTTTTTAAAGCACCAGATGTTATACCTTTTTAGTCTCTGAATATTTTAGGTGGTTATTAATATTATGTGGATTAAATCACCATAGAAACATCTGAAACTGAAATCACAACAACAGAGATAATTAAAAGGCGAGATGTTGGTCCTTATGGCATTCGATCTGAATATTGTATCCGGAAAATCATTTGCCCCATTGGAGTTCCAGAAGCACCAAAAGGTAAGGAATACAAAGAATTCTGTTCTTTTGTTATTGACCTATTAACCGTATCTTTTATGAATTAAAATTTGATTATAGGGACACCTGGGTGGCTCAGTCAGTTAAGTGTCTGCCTTCAGCTCAGGTCATGATCCCAGGGTCCTGGGATCAGTCCTGCATCAGGCTCCTTGCTCAGCAGGGAGCCTGCTTCTCTCTCTCTGCTTGCCACTTCCCCTGCTTGTACTCTCTCTCTCTGACAAATAAATAAAATCTTTAAAAAAAATTTGATAATAATTGTTTCCTTAACTCTTTATTCCACTTTTGAAAAAGAGATCTTTTCATTACAATCTATTATATTTTTTAAAATGATATTTAAGTAATAAACCCTAACAGGATTTCACTAGACACACATATCTATAGGCATTGTTCCAAACACAGGGAGGGTACAGAGAAGTATAATAATACCTCTTATAGGGGCACCTGGGTGGCTCAGTTGGTTGAGTGTCTGACTTGGTTTTGGCTCAGGTCACGATTTCATGGGTTGTGGGATCGAGCCCCATGTCAGGCTGTAGCTCAGCAGGAAGTGTGCTTGAAAGATTCTCTCCCTCTGCCCCTCCACCCGCTTGTACTCGTGCGTGCGTGTGAGCTCTCTCTCTCTCTCAAAATAAGTAAGTCTTAAAGAATAATGATACCTCTTACAATTAAGCTGTGGAGCAGTGATTGACACCAGACTGTCAGCTCCAAGAGGGCAGCTCCTGAGTCTGTCTAGTTTGTTGTCCTGACACCTGCTGCAGAATATGACACATAAGTGATCACTGACCATCTCTTGATTCAAGGGTTAAAGCTGTTGTGAAATACTTGAGTTCTCGGGGTAAAAATAATCTAAGAGGCATAAAGAGTGTGATTCAGTAAACATTTATAGAGCAACTACATGATAAGCACTAGACAGCAAATACATGGAAGAATGGGATTCAGCCCCTATTCTCACAGAAGCAAAGAAAAGGTTATAGGATTATACTTCTATAACGAGAATCAAAACTGTTAATGCTAAAAAGAGTTCAGTGAGGTGACTGGACTCGAGATACAGTTTAAAATCAATTTTATTTCATATGTGCAATAAAAACATTTAGGGAAAAATCCTTTATGAAATGGGTAAAAAGAGAATGCTGTCCTTAGAAACATGCTATTTAATAATAGAAGCTAATTGTCCCCAAATGTATACAATTTACATTTTGAAATCAATTGAATTAAGTCAAAAGTTCATCTTGGAGAATAAATGAGAATAGATTTTTTAAAAAGAACCTCAATAAGGGATACTGTCCTAGTAGAGGATGAAAATTAGCATAATTAAAACAGGGTTGTTGTGGAACTGAGACAGCTCAGTTGATGGGCAGAGAAACAGATGGAACAAGCGGTTTCTGACCCATCTTCAGTCTTGGCCCCAGGGCTTTCAGATCACCGCAATCTCCTTGGATCGCATTTCTTTGCCTCTTACCACTTTGGATAACCTAGGTCCTACCGCTGTTTCTGTTTTCTTCGACTGCTTCCCTATTCCCTGAACAAATGGGATGGTTCAATGCTTGCCTCTTCCTACTTTTTATTTTTAAAATCTTACCATTAGGAGATTTTACCTCTGCTTAATAGTTTCAGATCCCTTCTTTACATGGGCAACTTCCAAATCCCCCTTCTCAGTGCTGTGATGGAAAATACACATTGCCAGAATAGTACATGCCAAGGACCCCCAGCCCAACTGTGTGGGAAGAATGCGCTAGGCTTCTTGAAGGACAAGTATCCATGTCGGTGTGTGAAGGATAAATAGACGTTAGTCAGGTGAGGGGGACAGAGCCTAGGAGTAGTGTTACAGGCAGATGGAACAGGCTGGGTAAAGGCTTACAGGCCTTTTATATCAGGGGCCAGCAAACCTGGCCCATGAGCTTTGACCCACCACCTGGTTTTGTTAATAAAGTTTGATTGGAACACAGCCATACATACTCGCTTATGTATTGTTTCTGGCTCTTTTCATGATACAGAGGCACAGCTGACTAGTTGTAACAGAGACCATCTGTCCTGCGTAGTGTGAAGTATTTACCATCTGGCCCTTTAAGAAAAAGTTTGCCAACTCCTGTTTTTCATGATCTAAGAGGAGATGCCAGAAGTATTGTAATTTTAGAAGCTGTATTTGCTTAAAATGCTCTGATTTCTTTTCCAAAGAAACACCTACACCTCAGAGGAAAGGCCTTCGGTCAAGTGCATTACGGCCAAAGAGACCAGAAACGCCCAAGCAAACTGGCCCTGTTATTATCGAAACTTGGGTAGCAGAGGAAGAGTTGGAATTGTGGGAGATCAGGGCGTTTGCTGAAAGGTAAGGAAATGGTTTACATGTAATCAGATATTTGAAGCTTAACTTCAGTATATCCTAGTTAATTTTATTTCACCTCTTGATTTTAAGTGCTAGCTATAGATCATTTGTTAAAGTCTTGTTTCTAATTTTAATGTGTTTTATCCATTTGTCAGTTTCTAATTATCTTACATTTATTGTTTTTAAGCAGAAATAATTTTATATCTTTTTATAATATGAAAGTCGACCAGATTTCACTTAATATTTGATACCAGTTGTCTAATAGTGTAGTTTCTGATAAAATTCCTCCTTTTTTTTCCCCCTGCAGAGTGGAGAAAGAAAAGGCACAAGCAGTTGAGCAACAGGCTAAGGTTAGTGAACAGAAGAAGGCAGAGGACTTCAAGGCCCACATGGAGGCTCACCTCAAACAGCAGCGCTTGGCTGTCCAGCAGGTGGGGGAGTTGGTACTAGGCCCACCTGGCAGCGAATTGACATTTTTAGCCAAATTCATGCACACCAAAAGCACAATAACAATATATTCATGTGGTTTTATTTATTATCTCTAGAATTCAGTGGGTAAGTGTTGTTACTAAAATATCGTTGGCACACATTGTTACATTAGCTTGAGGTGTTTGTGGGTAATTTTCAAAGATAATGTTTTCCTACCAAGTTCCAATCTATAATATCTCTGTAGGCCATGAAAAAGCAAATTGTACTAAAACTCTTAGGAGTTTGTTATAATTGAGGATCATAAAGCTACTGATGGTTTCTTTGCATTTCCACACTATAAATGATGTACTGTATGTGCCTGAATATTAGGGGTTCACATAAAGGATGATTCCCCCTTTTTTCTCTTGAGAAAATCTATAAAAGTTTTTAGCCAACTTAAATATGTAAACTTTTAGGATATAGGTGAAATCAATAAAGGTCTACTTACAGTATCACTAACTTAGTTACATGTAAGTATTTAAAAATTACATATTATGTCAACCAGAATATTCATTTCAAACTGCTTTTTCCTCTCACATTTTATAAAACATTCCTTTAAATTTTTATGCATCTTTTACTTTGGTGTAGTGTAGGTCATTGCCTTCCCTTACGTCAAAGTTTGAGATAACTACACTTTTGGATTTTTTCATGTCTATCTGTCCATTCAGAGAAAAACTAACTAGTTGTTTTGTTTTTCATTTTATGGATGTGTTTTTGTCATCTCTATAGTGAAACCTAATGTTTTACTTTTAAAAATTTATTTAAAATGCTTATTTACAAATACAGTCAACATTTCCAATTTTGAAGGCATACCCTCAGGAAATAACTACTAAACATGTGTTCCGTTTCTTTGTCTTTCCCCCTCCCCCACCTTTTTAAAACTGATTTCAGTCAGATGACATCTCTGAGTATCCAAAACTAAACTCCTTTTCTTCTGAGGAATGAGAAACTATGGGAAATACCTCACATTATATTCAGGCATACAGGATGTGTACAAAAGCAATCCTACATAGATTGTCTGTGATGTCACGGCAGGAGATAGTTCAGCATTACAGTTTTATCTTGGTACACATCTCAGCCCCACCATTAACTTGCTCTGTCCAGGCCATCTACACAGTCTCTCTGAGTCTCAGTTTTGTCATCTTTAAGTTACAATACCAGTAACTTTATTGGGTTGGTCTGAGCATTAAATAAGATAATGATGATAAAGCATTTGCACGAGGTTTGAAATCAGTGCTGCCTCTTGTTCTTACATGTGGAAGCTTACGTCGTCGTGTCGGTCAGGAAGTGTTAGCAATCTATGATACAAGATGTACAAATTGTCTTTAAAAACCCTACCATCTGATCAGCTTATACCTCTCTGCATAAAATAGTCTAAAATATTTTTCTGTAAGAAATTTTGACCTGAGTAGTATAAGAAGTTTAGAAAAGATATTTTATTATAATTTTCAGCTTGCTTGCTTACCTGTTTGTGAACTGGAATAGTGATTATTTAAGTATTTACATGATTTTTATAATTGGATAAGTTAACATTACAGTAAACCAGAAACCTTTTACAGTTCCTATCATTTGCTCTGTGCTCTAAATACATAAAGGTGTTCCTGTCTCCAGTGAGATTACCCGTGTCTCTTTTATTTGCAGTCTGAAAGCTTGGACATTTGTACAGGCTGTGGTTTAGAGTTGTAACAAAATGGCCTTCTTCAGGAAATTAAGGGCAAATTTATATGGACATATTTTCAGAAATATTTTAGAAATTTGATGCAGTTAGATTTGGAGAAATTATGGCTGGACTTCTTGCAGAATGGTATTGTTTTTATTTAGAACTCTTTTGGTTCATGTGTTCTCTCCCTGGCTTTTCTAGAAACGATTGGAACAGCAGAAGCCTACAGTAATTGCAGCTTCCACCACTTCCCCACCAAACAGTACAACTAGTACCATTTCTCCAGCACAAAAAGTTATGGTGGCCCCCATAGGTGGCTCAGTTACAACTGGAACTAAAATGGTTCTCACTACTAAAGTTGGATCTCCAGCCACTGTAACATTCCAGCAAAACAAGAACTTCCATCAGACCTTTGCTACGTGGGTTAAGCAAGGCCAGTCAAATTCAGGTACATAACTGTTATTGAAGAAAAGATTACTTTCGTTCGGGGAAAAGAAATGTCATTCCTTTACTGAAATGGAACATTTCTTTAGAAAATTGTTTTTCTTCTGCAGCTGATTGAGCGAACAAGCTGCAGCAGTTGGTTTGTGACAGATAATATAATTATTACATTAGCGAGACTCCTCTCTTACATTATTTCACTTTCAACATTTACATAGTTCACTTACTTTGAGTGGAGAGGAATGTTTGTCTTAAAAATACAGAAGGCGCCACCTTTCATGCATTGGTGCCCTTCCTGTGAGTCACTACGTTGCTGGTTATTTTAAATCTGAAGCTTATTAAATGTCTTATGCCCCATTAGCCACCAGCACAGCTGCCACATCTGCTACAACCATTGCCAGCACAGGTCAGACGTTCCAAATTACAGGCAGTCCAGTCACTATGGCAGGAAAAGTAATTACCAAACTGCCACTTCCTGCAAACAGCAAGATTGTCGCTGTAAATGTGCCAGCAACACAAGGAGGTAAGGGAAACGGGAAGAGTTCTAATTCACATTTGCCAGATCATACTGTCGCCATTATTTTTCATTTCCTTTTCACTGATTTCAGTCCTCGGATCTCACATTCTGTGTAGCCCACTCTAAAACCCTGCCACACGTAGTTCCTCCTCAGAAACCCAGCAACACCTGATGCTTTTTATTAAAGGGGCGGTTGTTAATGACTCCTTCATCTTTTTTTAAGGCGTTGTTCAAGTACAGCAGAAAGTCCTGGGTATCATTCCATCAAGTACAGGTACAAGCCAGCAGACCTTTACTTCATTCCAACCCAGGACAGCAACAGTCACAATCAGGCCCAATACCTCAGGCTCTGGAGGAACCACAAGCACTTCACAAGTAAGAATTCTTTACAGGCTTATTTTGTTTTGAAGTATGACGTGTACACCAAGTTGAAGTTTTCAGAACGGCCTCTTCCAGTATTAATCCAGCTTCTAATATTCCTTTGCTTTTTACTTAATCTGAGACGAAGTACTGATTTTTTTAAAAAATCTTTTCTATTTCTAAGCATGAATCATGCGAAATGTTAATTTTTTAACATTTAGTTCATAGCATATTCGTATACGTTATGAGTCAAATTAATGCTTTCTAGGATTTTGTAAAGAAAATTCCTTCATGTGAAACAATGGGCAGCATTGGAGCCCCCAGGGAAACTTGCTGTGCAACTTAAGAAGTAGAATGAAAATAGAATCCACGGCATTATAACTAACTAAGTTTGTTATCAGCTGATATGCACACATATTAGATACATCATTTCTGTGGCTCTGGTATCATGGAAAAAAGTTTGAAGTTTTGTAGACTTGAAAATGTTCTAAACCTAATTATAAGGCTGAAAATTAATATGCTCTGTAGTCTCTCCTCTAAAAACATGAAAGAACATTGGGTTTCCGATCTTACTATTATATTCTGTGGGTGACAGATATGTATTGGACCTCAGGGAAAATAGGACTCAACATTTTCCTGTGGGCAGCCATGGTGGTTATAGAACAGAGCTTCACTGAGTCTTGTCCCTTCCTTCTAGTCTATAAAGTTCTACTTGGTATCCCGTGACCAGGAATTTCATATGATCTCATTTGAATTAAATTTTCTCCCCTCAGAACTCCCATCTTTAAGCTGATGCTTAATGTAATTTAAAATGTAATGTCCAAGAGCCTTTGTCATTTCTGTAGACCTATTTATCAATAGGGAATGTTTAAAGATCTGTGTTCTAAGTCCATCATGCTTTTAGTCTTAAAAACATTTTAATTCATTGTCCTTTGTGTCATTTATAGGTAATCACAGGGCCTCAGATCCGCCCTGGTATGACGGTGATTAGAACACCCCTCCAACAGTCAACACTAGGAAAGGCAATTATTCGAACACCTGTGATGGTACAACCAGGTATTCATCCCTCCAGCATTTTCATTTTTCTTCTAAACACCCAGTCTGGGAAATCTGTAATACTCTGTATGTGCTACTCTACATACTAAAAAATACCGATTTGAATGAATACTTCAAAGCATACTAAATTTCTAATCCATTTTGGGGTACATCCGTATTATTTCATTTCTGGCATTGCCAGTAAGGGAGAAGTAGATCCAAGCATGCTTAATAAAAATTTTTAAAAACCTCTAATAAATAGAATATATATTAATTCAAATCATTGGAGTAAAGAGAATGAGTAAAGACAACAGTCTGTGTGGCAAAAGACAGACAAAAGTCAAGGAAACAGCTAAGAAGGATTTAAACGGAAAACATAAAAAAAGCTTACAAAGGCATTATCAGCTCTTCGTTAACGTGAATAGGTTAAAGTTCCCATATTTAAAATTTGAATCCTGTAAAGATAGAACAAAAAAAAATCCAACTGTACAGTAATAAGAAACATATCTAAAGTTGAGTTACCACAAAAGGTTAATAAAAAGATGGGCAAAGATACATGAAATAAAGACCAAAAATAGAAAGTAAGAAAAAGGGGAGATACGGGGTATGGGTGGGGAGGACAAAAATTATCTTACTAATATTGAACAGAGCGAAAGTCAATGATTTTTACATTGTCTTAAAGATAAAAACTAATCTCTAAGAACCAAATAAGGGGCGCCTGACTGGCTTATTTGGTGGAGCATGTTGTGACTCTTGATCTTGGAGTTGTGGGTTCAAGCCCCACATTACATGTAGAGATTACTTAAAAATGAAATCTTTTAAAAAAAAAAAAGAAGAACCAAATAAGATTTCATTGGAGTGTTTAAAGCAAAAACTATTTGATATCAAGGAGGGATCAACAGAAGCATAGTAGACTAGAAACAGGCTGTGTCAACTATTAAACCTTCAGGAATACACATTGGTTTTAAATATATTTGGGCTCTTTATACAAAAATGGTCACATAATGAGTCAGGTAAAACCTGATGAATTCCTTCCAAAAAGTAGAATGTGTATAGGCCACATTCTGTGTAGTAAAGCTAGAAGTTAATATTAAGTTATTCTACTAATTTTTACTTGCTTGAAAATTTTAAAACATATGTTCTCATAAGTAACTTTTGAGTTAAGGGAACATCAAATGCATAGGTTCAAGCAGATTATCAAGTAGCAGCGAAGTCATCTGCCAAAGCTGGACTCAGAGACAAATTTATTCAGTAAATATTTGAGCACCTACTCCAGGCAGTTGAAATACACTGGAGGATAAAACAGACCAAAACCCCATATTCTTAAGTCTTTTTTCTTTTTTTTTTTTTAAGATTTTATTTATTTGACAGAGAGAGACACAGCGAGAGAGGGAACACAAGCAGGGGGAGAGAGAGAGGGAGAAGCAGGCTTCCGCCAAGCAGGGAGCCCGATGCGGGGCTTGATCCCAGGACCCCAGGATCATGACCTGAGCTGAAGGCAGACACCCAACAACTGAGCCACCCAGGCGCCCCTGCATATTCTTAAGTCTTAATCAGTAGTTAGAAAAATACATAAAACAAGTCTTAAAGAAAACAGGAGGAAATAAAATAAAAATACAAGTAATAATTAGAAAACAGAGAAGGGCGGGTGCCTGGCTGGCTTGGTTGACAGAGCATGTGACTCTTGACCTGGGAGTTGATAGTTTAAGCCTCATGTTGGGTATAGAGATTACTTAAAAATAAAATCTTAAAAAAAGAGAGAGAAAAGGGCAAATGTTATTAAAGTAAACCATTCTTTTGCAAGTCTAATCTTGAGAAATGGGAACAAAATGCTAGTTTACAAAATCAGTGATGAGAAAGTGCTATAAAAATAGAATGAACTTTTCTTTTAAAAGATTTTATTTATATATTAGAGAGAGAGAACATGAGCAGAGGGAGAGGGACAAGTAGACTCCCAGCTGAGCGGGGAGCCTGGTGCAGGGCCAGATCCCAGGACCCCAAGATTATGACCTGAGCCAAAGTCAAATGCTTAACCGACTGAGCCACCCAGGCGCCCCCTAGAGTGAACTTTTTTTTAATCAAGAGAGAATTGTGTATAGGAATCCTTATAGTACTCACACCCCATACTCAGGAACTAAATCTGTTTGAATAATGAGGCCTAAGTATATACTATGCTTATAAATTTCAAGTCTCAATGACTCATATCAAGGAAAGAAATTTGGAAAGTTGCCATAGTATTTCCCACAAAAAAATCCAGACCTCATGGTTTTATGGGTAAAATTCTTTGAAATGATTAGGAAGCAATTTTCTTCTTATAAAAAAAAGTTCCAGGGCATGGGGCAAAGAAAAGATTAAATCTTTTCCATTCATTTTACAATTTTAGCACAGTTCTAATATGAAATAAAGCACTGTCTTGTTTTTTTGTTTAAATAAAGGCAACTTTCTAAAGTCGAAACAGGATTTACCCCAGGAGAGAAAGTATGATCCATTATTTCACTTAATGCTGCAGGGACAATTGGTTAATTTAGTATCTATTACTTTTACTATTAATTTAGTATCTATTACTGTTTAAAAATAGCTGTCAGGTAACTAAAGGGAACAATAAAAGTGTAATGTGATGTAAATGAGAAAAAAAATTATAGATGACAAATGGTAATATACTTACAAAACTGAAAAAGTTTGGTGATTGCAAGATACAGAGCCTTTGTTCCGTATTGCCTTATGTCGTTTCAATTATGTGTTTGACTTGTGTGATGTGAATCCACAGTTACACGTATGAGTGTGTCTCCTGTGTCAAAGAAAAGCAAGATGGCCAGTGGGTCTGGTGGGGCCCAGTGAAGATGTGGAATTCTAGGAGTTGTGGCCAGAGAGGTGGAGGGTGGGTGGATGTGTGGTGTGTCTCTGATTATGTGTAGCTCAGCTTATCCTATTCCTACCGCCACACTAGCCTTTCCCAAAACTGAATCCACAGACTTCCTGGATGTAATAAAAATTTTTCCAGTTTTTGAATTTACGTTTTGGTGATCATCTCAAATTAACATGTACATGTTGGGGATCATCTGAATAATCCATCTTTGTTTATGATGGCATCGTATCACTACCAGGGGATCAACTAAAGTAATTTTTCATGCATTGTTCCTCGAACTGCAGTACAGGGACATAACGTGGGGTCCAGACGTTCTCAGATTAAGGCACTTGACTTCATATGATGTGGGGTTTTTTTTTGGTTCATCTTAAGAATAAATGGAAGAGGTTAATTGGGAAAAGTTTAGAAGGTAAGCGTAATGATGGGAAATGCACTGCCAGTTGTACCCACCAGAATTAGCACTGTGACACCAGAGGAAGCTAGACCGAGAGAAGCAGCTAAAAGGCATTATGTGTGAGACTTTGCAGTGTGACGAAGGTGTCATTTTGAATTAGGAAGGAAGGACTGGACTTCACAGCAGATGATACTGGAATAATCAGTTCATAGTTTTGGTGGTGGGGCAGACCTCTGCCAACACATACCACGACTAAGAACATATTTGGGAAGACATATCTGATAGAGAATGCAGGAAAATTTAAAAGAAGTAATTGAAGCCAGAACAGGAAACACACACATACATGTTAAAAAAAAACAACTTTGAGATTTAAAAAGAAAGAAAAGGCAGAATGCAAAGTAGAAACAATACAAAGTGGTAATTTTTATCTGTAAAAAGCACCTATAAATAAGTAGGAAAAGAAGAGAAATGGGAAGAGTGTGGAGAGACAGTTCACAGATTAAGCATAATGACTTGACACGGGTTTAAATGCTGAGCCTCGGTGGTAATTGAAGAAATTCAGAGACCGCGATGCTGTCGTACCGTTTCTCATTTTGCTGGAATATTGTACTTTAGTGATAGTACCTATGGGTTCAGTGAAAGAGAAACTCAGTGATGGTGAGAGTGTGAGTTGGTATAACCTATATAAAATTCAGTTTAGGGGCGCCTGGGTGGCTCAGTCGTTAAGCGCCTGCCTTCGGCTCAGGTCATGGTCCC